ATTCGCGAACTGCCAGAATCAGCAGCACGAAGCTTAGAAAAGCTTGGAGGCCTTGGAAGAGGTGACAGCCCAAGCCGAGCCCCGCGTGCCCTCGCCAGTGCTCGAAGCACCAGTCTTAGCCTGTGCTTGGGATTTGTGACTTGCCGATTACAAGTTAGAATTATTCGAAGTGTTGCGGCTTTCCAGCTTCAGACCTCTCAGGACAGGCAAGCCTCGACATGGGGACAGGACGCGGCACCATGACCGTGCGACATGATCATGAGAGTATCTACTCAGCTATCATGTACTAGGTATCCCTTGTTGCCACATGTTATCACAATTGCAATTGGATGGCGTTGCCGCGGAAGACCCACAGCAAGGGCTTGGCAGGCAAGGGACGGCCCCGAGGCATGGCTTAGCTTGTACTACTGTGTATGTATATGTATATGTATATGCATATGTATATGTATATGTATATGTACTAAGGATTGCAGGGTTTGTGTCGTATGATGCAGCATTGAAGGGTAAGGTCAAGAAGCCGTGTTTTTCACTGCGGCAGAGCGTGGCCCAAGTAGAATTGCTTGCAAAAAATATTAAGCAACATTGGGTTGGACAGCAGGGTTACTTTTAATGTATACATGTTCGAGTGATTCGAGTGTTCGCAAACCATGTTGCGAGTCCGCCGCTATCTGCCTTTGTCTGCCTGACATCAGGCATCTTTACATCCCTGCGCTTTCAGGAGCTGATGCTCGACTCGACGGGTCCTGCCGAAGATGTGCAGTTGTCCTCTTCGCTTCAACAGCCAGACATTGCGAGCACTTCGGCGACTGTGACCCGGCAAGCAGTAGTGTAGTCAAGAGACTCAAGAGTGGGTCAGCTGCTGCTTTTATACTGATACTCAATGCTCAGGCTTTACATCCACCACCTTGTAGCGATGGAATGGACAAGCCACTGAATGCGCCCTGCGCCGCATCCCTACTGCACTTCACCACCGTTTGTGAGTGACGTAGACTGCAAGTGGCTGCGCCCGCCATGCCGTGGTTCTCAGTCGGGTTTCAAAACGAGAGGCATTCGATCCACAGAGGCACGATTCATTGCAGGGGACCTTGCAAAGCCTGAATGGACAGCTGACAGCTGTATTCAGAGCTATGGTTACGACTTCTTGTGGTTTGGCAGGCTCCAGGTTCTACGTGCGAAGCTACACCGGCAGCTGCAATGCGCCATAGAACAGGGCAAGCTTGCTCGCGTCTCAGTCTTCATCCCACATGAGATGTGGAACTGCTCATAGCCTGCTCCGCATCTCAGCATGTTTCAGGAGACATCTGTCGAGAGGGCCATGGAGTTGATGACGAGTCCGACTGACGCAGAGGCTGTGGTATGGATGGTATGGCCGTAAGCGAGAGACTCTCAAGGTGCTATATTGGGTAATGAAAACCGCTTGGCAAAGCTTGTAAACGAGTTCAGACATCACCCGTTTTCCATGTCCCATCTCAAAGACAAGAAACGCAACCACGGTTGACTTCAGATGTGAATGTTTGCCATTTTGCTGCTGCGAAGCCTGAAACACTGTCCTACAGATGCTTCTCATCACTACCTACCTCTACTCGAATCCTGCTGCCTTTGCAGACATGACCTTGCCCAGGCGACGGAACGCGATGGTCGCGTTCCGTTGCTGTTCGCTTACGAGTGTAGGGTTTTGGTTGGAATACGTTCTTTTCTTGTCACCGTGGGCCTTGGCGTGCCAGTGAGCATTTGATTCACTCATACTTCTCCTGCACCAGCCGAGTCGTTGTGCTGGGTGCGCCTTGTTTCATGCCAAAGCACGACGCAAGTCATGAACTCGCAAAAAGACGCAGGATGTCCGCATGCCCAGTTGCTTTTATGTGGTCCCTGCTGCTGCAGCTGCCCGGCACGATGAATGAACAGGGCGAGGATGATGAAGTCCGCATGCAGGATAAGTGGGGCTATTCGACGGCCATTGATGGCCACTGCCCTTATTAAAGTTCTCTTGCGCTTCAAGTATTAAAGTTAGAAGCTATTTGCGTTGCACATCTAATTCCATGAACATGATGATTGGCCCCTCATTTAAAGATGAACAAACTCGCCTCTGATTATAGCAATCACCGTGTCGGGTGCTTTGGTTGTCCCAGTAGCAGCAGCTGTCCTTCATTCTTGTCCAATCTTCCGGCCACGGCCATTAAAGCAGTTTAACTCAGGTTAACAGCATGTCAATCCGAGCAGCCCAACGACCCAACGAGCAGATGGCTTCTCACCTAAATAGCATTTCACCAAGTTCATGCGTAGAACTTACAGTACAGAAACGTACTCTTAACCGTACTGTTTCCATCCCAAGTTAAAACGGCAAATGGCTTAACTCATGTCGTTAACATCACTGGGGGTCAGTTATAAAGAGAAAAGAAAACTTCCAAGACGCATTTGGCCACTCCAAGTGGCTGTTCTACAAACCCAAGTGACTATACGACCAATCGGCATGTGCCTATAAACACGCACTGTTTATAAACACAGTCTCCTGGAGCATGAAGATTATCTCAAACCATCTCAAACCACGAAACCATGATCCCGAACAATGGGGGTTCTGCTATGATTTCTGATGTGATGTTTCTCTCCACACTACCGACCCTATGCCTGACAGCGGGTATTTCTTGGTGCATGCACCCCCGGCAGTAAGTCGAAGAGGGGCGCCCACACATCTCAAGACAGAGCCCTCACAGTGCCCCTTTTGAGCACTAAGCAGTTTCAAGGTAGTTGGAAAGCAGCATCAAGCATTTCCTAAACTGCCGGTAGGAGGCTTGTGCCTTCCGCCCAACCCTGGTCAACCCATTAACCCAATCCATTCGGCCCTGTGAATGGGTCAACCCATCAACCCCCTAGTCCGATGACCCAACGATTGGTGCCCTATCAAAGGGTTAATGGGTTAACCCAACAGCCCCTTCATAAGGCCGCAAAGATTGGGTAAATGGGTTCATGAGTTAACCCATTCAAAGGGCAAAAGATTGGGTTAACGGGTTTATGGCTTAATGGGCCAGCCCACTCATAGGGCCAAAATGTGGGCTACTGGGCTGATGGGTTGCAAATGACTGAGTTAATGGTGATGAGTTAACGGGGTAAAGAAACGGGCAAAGAGCTAACGAAACTGCATGCGTTTGTAAACGCAGGACGCAATATAAACATGGGCACCCGATACAAGAAAAACCAGTCCCGTTAACCGTTCCAAAATGCAGGGAGGGATACCCGATAACCCAAGTAAGTCTGAATCAATTGCCAAAACCTTAGCGACCCAAAGGACTCAACAAGTGGTCTGCCCTCTGGCCGATGTTCACTGTCGTTCTGCTAGATGGCTCCACTAGTACTATCCCTGCATTTATCTTATGCGCCATTACTCGGAACCGTCAAATTGCATTGTCATGGATTGTTGTCGAACTTTGTCGATGCATAAAGCGATTGCTATGACCACTACGACTGCAGTGCGGTACTTGCAAGTGCTTTCAATTACCATGACTCTAGTGGGGAAGACTACAAGTATCACGGCCCATGGCTGTTCTTGTGCCGAATGCTGATCGGTAATGCTACTTCTCGCTGATATATCTATATGGCTGCGCTGTCACTAATCCTACGACGACTAGCCATACGACTACACTTACTATTTGTCAACAAATCCTGTGCCTTTGTGGACACAATTGAATATTTCCTTTTTCACTCACAAGGCCTGTTTTTTTAGGGACTATGGTAACAGTGAGCCAGACTTTGTGAGCTGATACGGAAGACATGCTGCTTTGGATGATTGGGGTTTTCTTGACTCTAGACCGCGACAACTTCACCACAAGAATAGGCCACTTAAACACTGAGGGTCTCGATGTGCAGCTCTGGAACCGTCATTGTCAATGCATCAAGCACAGATCTCGCAATTTGACAGCCTTCTGGAGTCGCATGATTGCTTGCAAGGATCGGCTGCGGAATGAACTCAGAACCCTCCATTCGGAGCGGAGAGAGTTAGTTTCTCGCACAGACAGGCCTGGTGACATGTCGAGTTTTCGAGTGTCGGTGGCAAAGTAACTTTCCTGGATGCTACCTTAGCGGGCGTTTTTGCGAAGGCTCAAGCAGGAGTTGCAGCAGCTGCGGGCAGTGAACGAGGATCTCCACCTCAAACTTTCTAAGGGCAACGACTACGGTTAGGTCGTGCTCGAAAGGCAAAAATTCAGATATGCTGCATGTAGCGTATCCTGGCACGGGCCAGGATAGTCCAGGTAGGATAGGTTGCAGCAACTGACTGAATCCTCTGAGTAGTGAGTTGGTCCAGCTAGCATGCACCATGCTTGCAATCACTAAATTGGGCTCCTGTTCGCATCGTGAGAGTCACAGAGTGCAATAGATGGTGAACTTTCAGATAGAAAGAGCAGCAACATTCGCATGGTAGCTTCAATCGTGCTCACTTTCAGGACATCCTTGCCGATCCACTAAGAATATAAGAATGGATCGTAGTCCTGCCTGACACCAGGTGCCTGCCCGAGATCCTCCCAAACCCGTAAAGAAATTCAAAATGAGCCTCGACCGTATACTGGACATGACTGGACAATTGACCACATGCAATGGACCCTGACTCAGAGCAAAGACAGCGGCCGCAAGTGTTCGATCACAGCCTGCGGTCAAGCTGACATTTTGCAAGGGCTTCGTAGGCGAAAACCGCCTGCCCCTTCCACGTAGCGAGGGTATCAATGATATGCTCCTCTCTGTTAAGTGCGCCAAAAGCAGGTGGTTTCAAAGGATCGCTGGCAATCACCATGGACCGGAAAACTCTGCAGCTTGATGCATCTTGAAGCCCCGTGCCAGTGCTCTTGCAGTTATCAGGAACATATGCCGACATCGCGTCGCCCAATGTTGTGTGCGCCTGTTGTCAAGCTGCTGCATGGCTTAGCAATCTCAGGCCCAAGTGCAGCCGGGACTCATGCACGCGCGGCCTGCGCGCGCATGCGCATGCGCTCGCACAAAGGTAACGGCATGCGATGGATGTGTGCTTCGCAGCTTGCGCTGTGGCACAAGGCTCGCACGCACGAGATGCAACGAATCTGACTCGGACGTTGCGGGCGAACAGTGGACGAACTGAGGCTGGACCAGCACGGCGTGGTACGGGACCAAGGAAGACGTATGCACTTCGTTCGTCCTGGCGCGCATGCTGCACATGACATCATATGACATCTAAAGAAAGAGTTTATTTGAGCCAGGGTGGTGGCCAATGCGAGCTTGGTGAAGCGCGAGGGGAGTGCCGCATTCACGGCTGCTGTATCTCACATTCTTGCTTGGGCCATGCTGTTGGTTGCAGCAACTGGGGAGCCCCGGCTGAAATCGAAACGATCCATGCTTGCTAAGCGCCGCCATGCAACGAGGAAGGCCATATGCAATTCATAGAGAGAGGCGCCACAGCTACAGCCCTCAGGTAAACATTTGGACGAAGACTGGGCCGTCGGATCTCGTTGACAAAGCGCAGCATGCCTGGAGGTTACAGCTGGGGGATTTGATGTTAGCGCTAGCTTGAAGAGAAGGCAAGACAAGTTATGTGTTGCACTGTCATCACCAAAGCCTTCCAAACTCAAAGTCTGACACCTGCACCTCATGAAATCTGCTGCTGAGCTGAGGCGACGGGTTGTGTGGAAGCCTGCTTGGATTGCAGCTTGCAGCAGAAGGAACCCTTGGTATCTAAAGCATTTTTGATGAAAGGCTTTGCAACTCCCCACACCATCGTCTCGTGCTTGCTGCCACAGGGAAGGTCTTTGCACCTTAGGTGAGTTGATTTCGAGACTTGAGAGAGACCGGGAGACACCGCAAGGCTCGTCCTCTGGTTTTACATGTCCGGTGCTCCGAGGCTGGCCTCGGGTGGAGCTCCACACTCTTCATGGTGGTGGCAGCAGGAGCGTGTGCCATCGTGTGCCATCATATGCCCCGACATGGGACGGCCAAACGTCGCGGCCTTGACAAAAGGAGCCACCCGGCTGCCGGTCTTGCAACCCAATTGTTGTAGGAGTCATGAATTGAACCAGACTCGCTATGAAATCCGAGACTGCGTAGTGTTCTTGAACTGCGACCCATCTTGAAACACCCTGAAACCGATCGGCTTGGATTTATTCTCCAGACCTTGAAGCTCTGAAGCCCGAAGCTTGAAGCCGCATCATCATCAGGACTCTTGGGCGCCGCGCTGGGTCAGGCAGTTGGCAGATGTGTTGAACAAAACAAGCAGATTGAACTGTGAGCAAAAAACTGCGAATGGAACACCATGGAGAGTGCGCTGAGTGTGACCTGAGTGTGCAGGTACTTGTTGTGTCTGGAGAGCTCAGCGCGGCCGTGTGCCTTGGCAAGCGCACTGTCTCCACTGAAAACTATGTAACAAATCAGAACAAAGCTAGATCAATCTTCCCTACTTTCGTGCGTTTTGAAGTTTTCGAGATTTTACGAGCTTGCCAATGACCGTGGGTCCGTGGGTGACAGCACCATGCCCAGCGGGCACCCAACAAGCACCCAACATCCGGGCACATGAACGCTGCAGTGGCAGGCAGGATCAAGCAGGCATGCGATGTATGTTGCTGAAATTTGCTGAAAGCAATGTCTCCAGCCGTTGTCGCAAAGCACGGCACATGCCAACACTAGCAGTTGCCCGTGGCTAGACATGTATCGGCGCTTCCATGAGACCCGCAGCAGCTCGGCTGCGGTTCACCCTGAAGTCGAGTCGTTTGCTCCTTTGTTGATTGCACGTGCCGATTGTGCATGTGTCGGCGAGCAGACCTCCTGTCACACTGGGTTGCACTATGGTCAGGATCGTCCGGGGCCTGCATAGGGTGCACGGTAGCCTCTGGCCCGGGGGGGTTCTTAACCCTGGGTTGAAGAAACCTGTCGCACATCAGCCCAGGATAGCTGATCTTCGTACGCAGAAGGTCCAGCAGCAACTTTGCGGCAGGCAGTAGGCATGGGATCTTCACTTCATGAACACTGAGAGCAGCTGAGTAAGGGATTTACAGTTTGGCTGCTGTTGCTTGATAAGAACCACCGTACAGAGGTGCACGTCCAATCACCTAAAGGAAACAAGGGCCTTGGCTCAAGAACGAAGCAGCTTGTAAGCAGCACGTCGTCATGATTCAAAATCAAATTCGCGACAAGGATGAAAGATATGTCAGTCATGGAAGCCCGAACCGAGGACGGCACAAACAAGTCTCCTCCATCTCCTCGGACCGCCCAGCTTGGCCCTGACAGGCCCCTGGGTACTCTCACCCCAACACACCCACATGCATGCACGCTAGTAACTAACGGGTTCACTCCGTGGAGTTCCGACCGGTTGTGAAGGGCGAAGAGGTCTTGGACTTGCTTTTCGATGCCATTCAAGAAGTTTTTGAGTGCAACCAATCACCGAGAAACTTCCACTTCAGGCTTTGCAGATCCATGCTCAGCACCACGCTCTGCTTATCACTATCGGCCTTGTTGCAAAAAGTTCTTGCCCACACCTCAGCTCTTGCTTTGATCCAGACCCTCCTGTCAACGCTCGCAACAGGCATCATCGTCAGCTTGTTCCAGGAAATCAGTGGTGTTGGCCAGGCCCGTCACAAGACATCCAGCCATTGGGGAAAGACTTTTCGGTTCTTCACGAACGACGGCCGACATGCTGGAGCCGCACAAGGGCGAAGCGATGTGCGAGATGTGATCTAGAGTACAAGAGTGTGTAAGTCTAAGTTTGCCCACGTGTGCTTAAACTATTGTGTGCTTCAGGCCTCGCTGATCTCCTTCATTTGTGTGGCTGCCGGTGCTTTTTTTTGTGGTGTTTGCCCCTCGGTATTGACTCTTGGGAAGGCATACAGCAGTCCCTGCATTGTAATGGAATGAAGATGCCCACAAGGGAATGAATGCCGGTAACCCCATGAACCCCCACTTGGAGCAAGAAGAGTAAACAGAGCAAAAACAGTCCAGGCCTCGTGCTGTGCTCCGTCGGGACGACACATCTGCGCGAATTCATTGGACCTTTCAATGCGGGGGCATGGCCTGCTGCTTAGATCTGCCCAGCTGCTTGCCGCTGTTTGTTGTCGCACTTGAAACGGCGGCCGCTCTACAGTAGTTTGAGGACGCCTGCGGAATTTTTCCACATGCTGAAGCAAGGTCTGCATTTGTCGCCTCTCTGGGGAACATCATGATATGGGGGGCTATCGAGATTGGTCAATACGCCCATGTTCAGGACCTGCTGTCGTTCTTCTGCAACTGCTTTGTTAGTTCTTTGCTTGTCACAAGTAAGCATAGCATAACTTCATGAAGTTGAAACACGGACGTCACATTTGCGCGGGCATGTGCAGGTAGACTCCAGCACCGGAACTTTTCTACTGTGGGCGGTTGTGGGCAGCGAAACTTGGCCTTGAAGCCGGAGAACGCTCGTCAGAACCTTCACGTATCTGAGTAGCGCTTCTACAATCATAGGCACCTCCGCAGCATGTTATTGAGCTTGTTCCGCCATGTTCCGCCCACGTCCAGGCCAGCTTCTGGAACTTGATTGTCGTCACTTTTGTTCCGCCTCGCATCGGCTTCGCGCGCACTTTCTGCCTCATCGTCACTGGAAAGGCAGCTGGGCCTGTCCGGTGACATCTGTTATCGTTCACAACTGAACTGAAGTTGGGCTAATGACTCCTGCTCACATGACGATGGTCCTGGCATTGTTCACAAATGTAGGCTCGCTGCTCGGCGCAATGCACAACCCCTTTAGAAACTTGGACCACGACCACGGATCCTTAGTGTTGAGAAATGTGGATACATCGTTTTGGAACACACACACACACACACACACCCAAGCAACGCCGACCCTAGCATAGCTGACATAGCTTGGTTGGCAGCTCGCTAAACGTCGGCGAGTGGTAATCAAGCTGAACCGAGAAGACCACCCCAGAGCAGCGACTACCCAGCACATACCATCGCACATACCATGTAGAGTCCTCTTGTCAACCAGCTTCATGCACATGTTCGCATATGAGCATACAAAAATTGAGAAAGGGAGACCGGTTCCAATGAGTGAGTTGTTAAGGATGGGCGGTTATCCCCCCACCTCTCCCCTCGTCATACATTTCATGCTGCTAGAGACTATGCTCCTGGAAGCAAGTGCTTGTAAACGACGCCCGGCGTTTCGGTGGAAATAACATCCCTTCCGACTGCGGGGCTTGGCGGAACTACATGCCCATACGCGCAAGGTCTCCTCTAGTCACGGTCGTTCTCTCAGCTTGTCACAACCTGTCTACATTCATAGAATATTTAAAGTAGGCCTTAAAAGCCTCCTTGTGAACAAGGTTGGGGTCAGTATAGTAGCATATGGTGCCCTGTGAGTGTTATATAGAGTGCACATAAAAGACCATGATAAACGAATGATAAAACAGAAGAATGAAGACACCTGCTTTAACAAAACAGCCACCATTCGCTGAGCCTTTGCAATCATTCGGCGATCGTCTGCCGGAGTCATGCAAAGATGCAAAGGTCACGAGCGGACTCCTCGTTGACGCCACAGGGCTTTTGTCCCCGAGGACGAGTGGCAAACACCACATGCTGCAAGAGCCTCTCATGATCTTTCATTTCTCTCAGAAGCGAGCCGCGAGCCCGTCCAATCTACACATCATGTAGGGGGAGTTGCACCCCGAAGAAAACCACGTAAACTCTTCGTGATCTTTGTGAAAGGCGGCCCCTGACTGCAGCCCGTTGCTTGGGAAGCCTCTTGGTCGTCATTGCTGCCTTGGTGCAGAAGTGCCTCAACCGCTTCAGCATGCTTCAGACTTCCATGATGTGGGCATGTGCAAGCCTTGACACGCATGAAGATAGCGAAGCATGCATCGACTAAGGTTGGGCTCAGCCAAGGAGGCGCGAGGGCTTCTCTCCAGTCCATGCGACATGACTCAGACCGCTTCCTCAGAGCCGCAGGACAGTCAAGGGCACAGAGCGTACGACATGGTGGCAAGCGCAACCACGGAAACAGAGGCACGTGCCGGCATACTAGAGCTTGCATACTAGCGTAGCAAACCTGCAAGGGCTAGCGAATGGTAGCAAAAATGTTGTAGCGTTGTGTGTGGCTTGATGGTCAGGGGTCAGGGCTGTTAAACTTGCCGGGTGCTGCTGAGGATTACGCGCTTTCTACAGAGCAATGATGTGACATCAGCGAGAAGAAGAGCTTTGCACCCCAAGGTGTCCACCGAACAGCGGCTTGGCGCTGCACAAGCGCAGAGTCCTGTCCTGCCCTCTGTGATCCATGGCAGCACTGTATGATACTGTATTCAAACATGCCGTTGCCAAATCTGAGTACCTCCTCCGGTGTCTTCGGACACCAGCTTCTCAATCTAAGCTGTGTGGACGGACAGTCCAGGATTGGTGCAGGCGCTGTCGCATCTTCCAGCTCCTGGGCTTAGATTGTTGTACTTGTACGGTCAAATCGCGGGCAGAGCGGGGGTTCTGTATTGAATGGTTCACGCTTTTTTTTTTTCTTTGGGGGGGGGGGGCGGGGGGGGGGGGGGGGGGGCGGGCGGGGGAGGGGGGGGGGGGGGGGGGGGGACTATTGAATCTGTCAATAAATGATAGGGTGGGGTGGTCAAATGCGAGTTTTGGGGTATACTTCAGGGCTACGGAGAGATCGCAGTCTGTATGTTTTTCGTTATCTCAAACGCATGTTTTGGCAGCTCCGCGGACCGGGTGGCGCCAATCTTCAGTTGTAGATCGCAGTCTGTGCGAGTGTGTGTTCGTAGGTCTTGCTTGGTGCATGAGGCAAATGCGCATGTTGCCGAAATGACTCTCTCAATCACACAACATGTTCTGGGTAGCTCTTGAGGCCAAGATCGCGATCTTTTTGAACGTAGGGTATGTGGGGCATGTAACGCATAATTATAGGGTTTGCAGAGTACTTGGGTTATAGATGGTTGTAGGACACATAGGGTACAGCGGAATTTTGAGGCCCATAGATATATAGTATTTGTCGTATATAAAGTGCATATATACATATACATGTGTATATCAGTTGGAAAGCAAAATTGGGGAGGGAGAAAGAAGAAGAGGGCGTGGGTTCATACGGAAAGGGAAGAGGGGAGGGGGCAGATGGGGTCTCTGCCGCTATTTTTGATCCTCCTGGAATAGCTGCTTAAACCCGGCCTGTTCGAGCTTTTGTTGTCCTCGACCTGCCCTCAAAGTAAAGACCAATGTGTTTCATATGGCTAGTTTTCCGAACAGAGTTGGCTTTTGCATGAATGTGGTTATCGGTAGTAGCAGTAGTAGCAATAGTAGCAGTAGTCGTAGTAGTAGTAGTAGTAGTAGTAGTAGTAGTAGTAGTAGTAGTAGTAGTAATAGTAGTAGTTACTAGCATGTGGATCAGTACCGATATCTGTCAGGCATAGTAAGAGCATGAGTATTCGTAACACTTATCAGTACATTTGCCCCCTGCACGCCAAGCAACTTTGCAGGGTTCAAGCCCCCCTGCCCCCTGCCGAGGGTCGCCGTAGTACAACAAACATAATGCTAGCAAAAAGGCGACAGGCTTGCCGGCCTTCGCAACAGCTCTTGAGGGCCAGAGATGGCAGAGCGAGAGAGAGGGAGGCAGGGAAAGAGAGTCAGGGAGAGGGATAGAGAGAGAGAGAGAGAAAAGAAAAAAAGTGAGAAAGAGAGAGCGAGAGAGCTAGTAGAAGTAGAAGAAGAAGAGCGAGAGAGGAGGGCAGGGTCGGCAGCAAAGCAGAGTAGCCAGGCCTGCTAGCATAATTTGTGTCGGATCTTTTGGTCCTAGCCCGGCTTGTCCGCGAGATACGTGATGCAGGCCTTTGATAACTTGGGTTCCCAACGCTGTCCGAAGGGCTGTCCTGGATCCCCAGTCATGGCAGTTTTTGCACCAAGCCAGCTTTCAGGTGAATATGAGGCTTGCGAGCACAAAGAGGCTCACAGAGGCCCTGGCGCATGACGTTTCAACGCTGGCCTCAACGGCCCAAGCAATCAGACTCAAGAAAAAGGCGGCCCTTGCATGGTCTAACATTGCTTGCACTTGCACGCCCTGGTGCTGTGCAGCATGTGCAGCATGTGCGTCTGAGCAGATTGCACAAGTTTGCAGCGATGATCTCCAGCGAATCTTCCGCGAATCCCGGAGGCATTACTCAAACCAAGGGCACCTCCACGCATAGGTCTCGCACATCACCGCCATGCTGACAGCAATGACAGCGGCGCTGGCCTTGTGCATTCTTTCCTTCAGCGGCCCAATGTGGTTCATCTTCATGCGGCCGACAGCCTGGCTTGAGAGGCGCCTGCAGGGAGTCGTTGTTATATTTGGATTGTCGGGCTCCTGGTGCTTGTGTAGATTTAGGCCATTTCTGGCACCTCTACAACTTGAGGAACCGCATACGTGGCTATGTGACACAGCCCATGCAAGTGGACGTTGGCGAGGCCTGGGCTGCAATGCGATAGGATTCCAATCACGATCACGCCTTGCAAGGCGTGTCAGCAGACGTTTGCAGTGTCCGAGGTCAAAACAAAACTGCTTCACGATCAGCCTCCTGTGACGCGAGTTGTGTTCATGAAGCTGCACTCAGTTGGCTCCGGCACGTTGGCCAGGATCCTCTTCCACTATGCGGACAACCACAATCTGACGTCTGCAGCTCCAGGGAAGTACTTCCCAGCCCCTTTCCATTCTACGGTTGGTTCAGATGTCCTCAGAAGGATGGCAGTTGAGCACCCCGGCTCGATCAACATCTGGCCAATACATGCAGTCATGGATGATGCACTGGACCTCATTGTGCCTGGAAATGTGAAGATTGCCTTTTTCCGCAAGCCCTTCGACCGCGTGATGTCCAGCATGAAGCACTTCCTGACCTTCCCGGACCAGGTAAGCATTGACAACACTTCTGCAGGGTACCGACAGCTGCTGAGCAACCAGGCGCCCACGGCATGGTGTGGAAAGGCCAACGCAGAAGAGCTGGACAAGTGCTGTGGACCGATGGCCGGGCAACCCATGACCGAGCAGTTACCTCTAGATCAATTTCACAAGCTTGACTATGTCATGATTCAAGAGCACTACGACTGGTCACTGTTGATGTTGCGCCGGCGCTTGGGTTGGAGCCTTGCTGATGTCCTCTACCTGAGTACTCACGTGAACAAACTGCACAATCGAGGCCCGGAGGAGAAGCAGCTGCTTGACGAGATTGCGGCATACTTGAACGCGGGCAACCGCGGCAACCGCACGCCGTGGGGAGAGCGATTTGTCAGCAACTGCATCAAGGGGCAGGAGGAGGAGATCTATACTGCAGCCACGAAAAGATTCCAAAATCAGTGGGAGGCATTCTCGCTTGCAGAGCAGCAGGAGATGCATGAAGAACTTGTGTGCTTTCAAAGCGCCTTGAGCACTCTGTCCAGCTGCTGCGCGCGGCATGCGCGGGATGTTTTCTGCGAGATGATGGACGAAACGTCAGTTCAGTGGTTTGAACGGCACAAGGATGTGTTCGTCCAGCCACCTATGCCCTACCCCGGATTGCAGGACAGCAGTGTGTGTCGAGATGAGGCCATGTCCGCATTGAGCTGCAGGTCAGAAAAGCTGGTCTCTTTGCACCCAACTGCACTCGCTGCAACTAGGTTTATGGGTCACGGCCAGCAGCCTCCTGTGACGCGAGTTGTGTTCATGAAGCTGCACTCAGTTGGCTCCGGCACATTGGCCAGGATCCTCTTCCACTATGCGGACAACCACAACCTGACGTCTGCAGCTCCAGGGAAGTACTATCCATCTCCACGGTTATTCCATTCCACAGTTGTTCCGGACGTCCTCAGCAGGATGGCAGTTGAGCACCCCGGCTCGATCAACATCTGGCCGATACATGCAGTCATGGATGATGCGCTGGACCTCATTGTGCCTGGAAATGTGAAGATTGCCTTTTTCCGCAAGCCCTTCGACCGCGTGATGTCCAGCATGAAGCACTTCCTGACCTTCCCGGACCAGGTAAGCATTGACAACACTTCTGCAGGGTACCGACAGCTGCTGAGCAACCAGGCGCCCACGGCATGGTGTGGAAAGGCCAACGCAGAAGAGCTGGACAAGTGCTGTGGACCGATGGCCGGGCAACCAATGACCGAGCAGTTACCTCTAGATCAATTTCACAAGCTTGACTATGTCATGATTCAAGAGCACTACGACTGGTCACTGTTGATGTTGCGCCGGCGCTTGGGTTGGAGCCTTGCTGATGTCCTCTACCTGAGTACTCACGTGAACAAACTGCACAATCGAGGCCCGGAGGAGAAGCAGCTGCTTGACGAGATTGCGGCATACTTGAACGCGGGCAACCGCGGCAACCGCACGCCGTGGGGAGAGCGATTTGTCAGCAACTGCATCAAGGGGCAGGAGGAGGAGATCTATACTGCAGCCACGAAAAGATTCCAAAATCAGTGGGAGGCATTCTCGCTTGCAGAGCAGCAGGAGATGCATGAAGAACTCTTGTGCTTTCAAAGCGCCTTGAGCACCCTGTCCAGCTGCTGCTCGCGGCATGCGCGGGATGTTTTCTGCGAGATGATGAAGGACTGCGTCGGGCTGACCACGTGCAGGAGAACAGCTTACCACATACTTAGCCCTTGCTTTCCTTCATGGTTCGAAATTAGGACCTCAGATGGCAGATGGCAAATGTCTTCAGCCCACCGCATCTTTTGCAAGCGTAGCAAAACATCTCAGACAAGCCTCAGAGTTAGAGCATTAAAAAAACTGTGATTGTCAATACGCACATCTGTCATCGGGGTCTGCCTTTCGGTTCGTCACTTCAGCTTGCAGGAGACATCTGAGGACTGGTTCATGAGGCATGGTGATGTCTTCGTCCAGCCGCCTATGCCCTTTCCCGGCTTGCAGGAGAGCAGTGTGTGTCGAGATGAGGCCATGTCTGCACTGAGCTGCAGGTCAGAAAAGCTGGTCCCTTTGCAGTTAACTCCACTCGCTTCATCTAGGTCTATGGGTCACGGCCGGCAGCCTCCTGTGACGCGAGTTGTGTTCATGAAGCTGCACTCAGTTGGCTCCGGCACGTTGGCCAGGATCCTCTTCCACTATGCGGACAACCACAATCTGACGTCTGCAGCTCCAGGGAAGTACTTCCCAGCCCCTTTCCATTCTACGGTTGGTTCAGATGTCCTCAGAAGGATGGCAGTTGAGCACCCCGGCTCGATCAACATCTGGCCGATACATGCAGTCATGGATGATGCGCTGGACCTCATTGTGCCTGGAAATGTGAAGATTGCCTTTTTCCGCAAGCCCTTCGACCGCGTGATGTCCAGCATGAAGCACTTCCTGACCTTCCCGGACCAGGTAAGCATTGACAACACTTCTGCAGGGTACCGACAGCTGCTGAGCAACCAGGCGCCCACGGCATGGTGTGGAAAGGCCAACGCAGAAGAGCTGGACAAGTGCTGTGGACCGATGGCCGGGCAACCCATGACCGAGCAGTTACCTCTAGATCAATTTCACAAGCTTGACTATGTCATGATTCAAGAGCACTACGACTGGTCACTGTTGATGTTGCGCCGGCGCTTGGGTTGGAGCCTTGCTGATGTCCTCTACCTGAGTACTCACGTGAACAAACTGCACAATCGAGGCCCGGAGGAGAAGCAGCTGCTTGACGAGATTGCGGCATACTTGAACGCGGGCAACCGCGGCAACCGCACGCCGTGGGGAGAGCGATTTGTCAGCAACTGCATCAAGGGGCAGGAGGAGGAGATCTATACTGCAGCCACGAAAAGATTCCAAAATCAGTGGGAGGCATTCTCGCTTGCAGAGCAGCAGGAGATGCATGAAGAACTCTTGTGCTTTCAAAGCACCTTGAGCACTCTGTCCAGCTGCTGCTCGCGACATGCGCGGGATGTTTTCTGCGAGATGATGGACGAAACGTCAGTTCAGTGGTTTGAACGGCACAAGGATGTGTTCGTCCAGCCACCTATGCCCTACCCCGGATTGCAGGACAGCAGTGCGTGTCGAGATGAGGTAATGTCCCGGCTTGCTTTGTGCAGGCTTGATTTGTACAGTGGAAAGTAGACTCCCGCAGTTTGCTATTTGGCTGATTTTCTCGCCGGCTCCAAAGGACATCCACATAAACGCAGCGGGTAAACCGTGCGCACCCTGTGGCTACCCGGCTATCTAACTCGTTTCACTAGCTTCTATCTGCTCTTTGCGCTTGTCCGAACAGGACTTGCTCTTTGTTGCAGATGTCTTCGGCAGGACAGCCGTCTACATTGCTTCAGGATGAGAGCAGGCAACAGTTTCCACTTGTCGCCTGCCCTCGTCATGTTTTCCCGTTACCGTAGCCGCTGGAGGCCGTTTTCGGCCTCTCGAGGAGTCAAGAGGAAACGCAGGCACCTCATGTCTCTGCGGTTAGGGCAAGGGCTCGGCCTATTGTGCTGGCGTAGTGTATGGCATGTTGTCAGCTGCCTCCTGGCAGATCTGGCTCACATTGAGGCGAAGCTCTGTGCACTCTGTAGAGAGCTTTGCTCAAGCGAGCGTAGTTGCAGCGTAGCTCCTGGCCGCCGTGTTGCACGGAGGCCAGCAACATTCGACAGGCCAGACCTTCGCATCTAAGTTTTTATGGCGAGTTCGTGTGCCTTGCATCCTGAGCCGACGAATGCCCTTGCAGCGCGTTGCGACCCATTGTGGAAGTGTCAGCGTGTGTCAGCGTTTCTCCCTGCATCTCGCCGTCTGTCCATATCTGTCTGTGTGTCTCTGTGGATCTCTATGTCTCTGTGCGCCTTTGCGTCTCTGTTCAATGTGCGTGTGTCTCTGCTGTGTGCATGTGTCTCTGTCTGTCTTTTCTGTCTGTCTGTCTGTCTGTCTTCTGTCTCTGTCTATGTGTCCGTGTGTCTCTCTCTCTCTCTCTCTCTCTTTCTTTCTCTGTCTCCGTCTCTGTCATTCTCCGTCTAAGTCTGTCTGTGTGTGTGTGTGGATGGATGGGTGGGTGGGTGTGTGCTGCGCGGGTGCACTAAGCATGGTGCGTGGTGCGTGGTGCGTGGCACGTGCCTGTGCGTGGCACGTGCGTGTGCGTGCGTGTGCGTGCGTGCGTGGGCGTGCGTGTGCCTGAGTGTGTGTGTGTGTGTGTGTGTGTGTGTCTCTGTCTGTCTGTCTGTCTGTCTGTCTGTCTGCCTGCCTGCCTGCCTGCCTGCCTGCCTGCCTGCCTGCCTGTCTGTCTGTCTGTCTGTCTGTCTGTCTGTGTGTGTGTCGGTGTGTGTGTGTGTGTGTGTGTGTCGGTGTGTGTGTGTGTGTGTGTGTGTGTGTGTGTGTGTGTGTGTGTGTGTGTGTGTGTGTGTGTGTGTGTGTGTGTGTGTGTGTGTGTGTGTGTGTGTGTGTGTGTGTGTGTGTGTGTGTGTGTGTGTGTGT